GGTCCAAGTTGGACTAATAAAGGTGGAAAAACTCGACTCAACACCTCAAACTTATTGTTTTTAAGGGTTTTAGCCTTTCAATATGTAATATTAAAATTTTGGTCCTAATCTGCATATTTTCTAGATAATAAATTCAAAATTAACAATTAGAGTAATATAAATAATATGTCCACTCATTTTTTTCATTAAATTATATTTCGTCAGTGCCATATAAGTAAAAAAATGATATCATGGCATGTGGATGTGGATCTCACATTAATTTTAATTTGAAAAATAAAATTAATTTTATTTATGCCACCTCTCTTTTCACATCAAAGCTCCTTTTTTAGACATAGTTGTTGGGTTCTCATCACCTACATCTTCTTAATGATAATGGTAATGTTAACCCCAAATACCATTCCCGTAACAAATAAAACAAATGACCTACAAACATTAACACCTAATAAGTGAAAATTCGGGGCTTTGAAGGAGACCTATAGTTCAATGGAAAATTCTATATTGATTAGATCTAGAGTTCCTTTATGGAAAAGGAGAGGGTGGAGGAGGGTATAAGAAGAAGGAGAAGTAGGATAATGGTGCAAGAAAGAGGTGAAAATGTAAACGTTAATTTTATTTTTTAAAATTGTAGTAAATGCAAGGCTCACATGGCATGTAATCATTTTTATGCTAAAATGACATTGATAAAGTATGACTTAGAAAAGAAATAAGCTGATTTGTTACTTACGTTACTTTCACTGTTAATTTTTAGGTTTATTATTTGGAAGACATGTAGTTTAAGGGCCAAAATTCTCATATTGTATGTTGAAGGGCTAAAAATCTCAAAGACTACAATAAGTTAGAGGGTGCTAAGTCAACTTCTTTCACCTCTATGGGTTCAGCTTGGGCCATTTTTCCTCCAACATGGCAGTGACGTGGCATTGAGTAGGCATGGATTAACAGGTTACGGACGGATGTGACTATTTGCCTTTAATTTTGAGCTTAAACCCTAAAAAACAACAAGTTCAAAGGCTAACTAGCATACATTTTTTGTTGAGGGGCTAAAATTCTCAATGACAATAAGTTAGAGGGGGAACAGGGGATTAAGCTGATGTTGATGAGCTATTCGACTTCTTTTTTTTTTTTTAACAATTTGTAATTATATACAAAATTAATTGGGGGAGGAAAAGGGACTTCGTGGAGTTCGAACATATAACCCATCAAAGATAAACATCCCTAACATTGAATGTCACTGAACCGAACGGGCGTTCGAGCTATTCGACTTCTTTTATAATTTACCAATATGAAAAAGAAATAATTTATAATTTATATGCAGATGTAGGTGTGCCATTTGACTGGACTTCTTTATAATTTATATTTGACTTCTTTTTATAAATAGGCCCAACTCAAGCTCCATATTAGCCATGTTTGGATTCTATTTTTCAGAGGGTAATTTTTAAGAAAGTTGATGGTTCAAAAATACTATTTTTGGTTAATTTTACTCGTTTATTTACTTATCAATTTTAAGTTTTAATATAATGTTAAAGTATTTTTTTTTTAAAAAACTTTGTTCTTATTAATAGTTACTCAATTTAAAGAAAAAAACACATTTAAATTTTTAACTAAATGCAGTAATAAGAATAAATATAAAATTTCAATTAATAATTTGTAATTTTATAAATCTTTATAACTTTTTTAATCGTACCAATAAAAGTGTCATAAATAAAGCAGACAAGAGGTATAGCCAACTAAAGACAACTTTTTAAACATGAATCCTAAGAAAAAAAAAATTCAATGATTCTAAAATGAAAAAAGTTGATTACATTGCACTACAGCTTTTTCTATTTTGGTATAATCAATGATATTTCTCGAAAATTATTTCCCAATAAAAATGCTGGAAAGATTATCTTCTTGGCTACATAATTGACTTTATCCAAATATATAATCGATTTTATTTTTTGCAACCAGTTACAATTTCGCATCAAATTTCATGTCTAGAAATTAAGGATGTATATTTAGTTTCCCTTAGTAAGAAAGTTTAATTGTATTTTAATTTTTTTTATGGGAAATAGAAAAATATATTAAGTAATAAAAAATTACAACAGAATCTCCATCTTATGACATATAATCAAAATCAAAATAACTTAAGAACAAAATCAGAAGCATAGCCTACAACACTAGTAACAAACTTAAACTATATCCATGACGGATATAGACATTTAAGCAAACAGAGTCATCTAAGCAAAGAGAGTCATTTGCAATTAGGAATTGTATTTACAATTGTTATATGAGTTAAATAAAGCTACCAATATAGAAAAGAGAGTCATTATGAGCATTAAGTATTATTGGACATCCTCACCTATTTAACCAGTTTCTTGGAGAGAGTAAGGAATTCTGTTCTTGGGGAGAGCAAGGAATTCTGTTCTTGGGGAGAGCAAGGAATTCCGATAAGAAACAGTCCCCAACCCACAAGTTGTCGCCCTACTTGTTCTTAAAGAAACCAAGAAGGGTATGGGCCTTTTACTGACAAGCACAAGGTCCCCCAGTTGCCTCCATATACTCCCAATCATGTTCCCATCTTTGTCGATCCTCTTCAAACCCATGCTGTCAAAACTCATTAAGGGAATTAGAGCCCCTTTGCCGGCTTGAAAATCAAGCTTCCCACATAGACCATAGCCGGCCTTACCAATAGCATTCCTTTCCTTTGGCAATCAACTAGCTGATTGGGAACTGGTGTGAACCAGATTCACCGAATTCGACCCCCGCCAAGATCCCATCCAAGGAGATGCACCAAAGTGAGATTCTTGCCTGTTAAATAGGAGAAACCCACTTGACCGACAAGATCAATTCTAATTGTAGCCTTCGAAAATCAACAAATGTAAACCTTAGAAAACCCAAAAAGCCACTACCTTGTGGTCCCTCGGGTTGGAGTTTCCAAAGTAAGACAACGACAAGAGGAAGGAGGAGATTAAAAGGAGGAAGCGAAGGGTAAGAAGAAAGAAGGGATGAAGGAACTCCTATGCCAGAAAGAAACCCTAGAGAGGAAAACTCCCCGCCATTGTTCTCAACCCTAGAAATAGTGCACGGGAGAAACCCTAGGGAGGCCAGATAGCTTATTGTATTTTAATACTGTTACGCATCAATTTGTAACAATAATATGCCTCTTTTTTAGAAAGGTCCCAATAAACTTTGACAAAAACCTTTCTTAAGCTCCTAAACTTATCCTAAAGTAACAGTTAAGTCCTAAATTAAAAATGATATAGATAAGTCCTCCAACTCTACTAATAATGCAAATACACCTTTCTTATTCACGGTTGTTAATGCTTTCAAGGGATATTAAATGAAGCAAAAGGGCTTATTTACATTGCTAGTGGAGTTGGAGGGCTTATTTGCTTCATTTTTAGTTTAGGAGCTTAAATACAATTTTGGGACAAGGTTGGGGGCTTAAGAAGGGTTTTTGCCAATGGACCTTTAACGCAAGAAGAAGGACCCTAATGAACGATCCCTAAGTACAAAGATGCAAATGAATGAAATCACAAAGTAGATGGATCATTTGGGCTTTAACTTTTTTTATTTTTATTTTCCATACTACAAATTTCTGCCAGCAATCTTTTCTTTCTAAATTTTTCCAAAAAAAAAAAAATTTCCATAACTTTTTTAATATAGAACCTACTTAGCATTATTTTTTTAATTTTCTTAATAGTAAGTTCTTACTAAATTTTAAAAAATTTAAAATTCTTATCAAACGTGAAAATGTTTAAATTCCAACAAAATTGCATTACCAATTTCATGAACTTTACAAACATATTTTCCGAAA